TTCGCAAAAAAGACAAATAAGAAGCAAAAATATAATCAAAATCGAAAAAGAAAACGTAAATCTGTCGTTAATTTCACTTGACTCGTTATCTAATTAAATAATGTTCAGTTTTGTACTATAGTACACAAATGGGAACCAATCCCTTACACGATATTCTACCAAAGAACTCTGCACAGATGAAAATTCATTCAAATTTTCTTTTTTTATAGACAATTAAGACAATTGGGAGTTCTTTATTTATATATTTTTTGCAAAAAATGATTATTTAACAATGAACGAATCAATTAATCAATTGATTACCGATGGAATTAATAATAAGCACTAGAGCACGTATACTAAAAACTTGTTGAAAGATAATAATTAATTAATAAGATACGCATATTAAAACGTAAAAATACTCATCAAACGGTTACTCTTTTTCACGAACTTTCCCTGAATTTTATTAATGTTTTTGTACTTTTTGGTATACAATTAGACCTACTGTATGAAGATAGCTACATCTAAAAAAAATATAAATATATTTTAAAACACTCACACGTCAAAGAAAAAAAGAAAAGATTAAGATTTAAGATTTTTTTGTTGAACCCCCAGAATAGGAAATTTTCGATCTATGCAAAGTTCTAGACAAAGACAAGATCGACATTCACGGATAGATTGTGATAGCTTCGCTACTTTTGTAATTGTAATTAGTAAGTACATTAATAATTATTTATTTATTTCAAGTTAAGACACTAAACAGTCTAAAATTTAGTAAATGCAGTCGAAATTGCTTACATCATTTTCTTAAGTACATATTAATTTATGCTGCTTAAATGCTCTACTGTATGGCAACATACTTTCTTTTTGACCAGTGGCGTAGTTGCCGCGATGAGCAGAGGGGCGCGAACCGCTTGGGCCCGAAAGAGCCTGGCCTCCGATGGCGCAGGAGCAAGACAGATTTAGGTGGGGGTCTCAAATCGGACCCATCATAACTTTGCTACGCCACTGCCTTATGACCCACATTTTCGCAAAATTCGAACTATGCATAATAATACGCTACAGTTCCTAAATATATTTGAGAAGCTATCATTTCTTACGATAAAAAAATAGCCTGTTACAGTAACACAAACATAAACGCGTTATTTATATGTATTATACACTTCTACTTTGAAGTACGTTATACTTAATAAAGGAGAGACAACATTGCCATTTTTCCGTTAAATCCGACCTTTTGTTTTAGATTGAATTCAACGGGATTTAACTTTTTCGATTGCATATAAATCACTGGGTTTCGAAATTATGGGAGTTTAAGATGTTCCGAACAAAAATGCATTTGAATAGAATTGAAAACGAAAAGCACAATACTTGGAATTTGCACATTATGTTACAAAAACAATGAACATTTTCTATACGAAATTCAAATTTAGATGTTCATCATTTTCGTGCAGTAGTGTATTCGCGAATTATGTCTAGCCTCTGTATCAAAAAACACGAATGAACCATTAACAAGAATTGATGGTAAACAAAACTAAAATAGAATCGATTGTAAACAAAACTAAAATAATAAATTAAATCTTACAATTTTTTTGCATCAAATCAAAAAACGCAAGAATTGATTTACTACACCGTCTTGTTTACTAAAAGCAGAAAACAAAAATAAAATTGAAGAACAGAAGAGAGTTTGTAAGCATTTTCGTAGGTAGGAGAATTTGTGAGACCAAGTTACCGTGTGAAACATTGTTTACTGACTGAGTTAAATTGAAAATTTTGGCTGTAACGTCTGAAACTCCAAAAATCGAAACGATCAAGAAACTTTGCCGAAGGTTTGCGTTTGCACCCTTCACACAACAGAACTACGTTCCCTTCATTCTCCGCAAATAGATGATTTTGTCACAGCCACTGAAAAAATTAATAATTGCGCCAAATCGGACTGCATTCAGCCTTCCTTGACGAGAAAATGTCAATTGGTTCACCGAATAATTTTGGAATGATTAGATATGAATCGTGTGGACCTGGAGGTGTCACGCCCGAGTAATCACAACTCACAACATACTCAGTCTGATTATCGTCGTCGAAGACAGCATTGGCAGGGTGCACTTCACGGATCATCACTACAGTACCCGCATCACGTAGACGGGCATGTCGTCGTTGCGAGCCATGCGTTGCATGTGCATGGATAGCAATTGGTTGGTATCACGGATGCCACTGGCGCGTACAAGTATCCGTTTGCGTACACTAGTGTCGCGGGTGGTGCACCAGGGTGATGGTGTTGACTCAATATTTTCTGCTGTTCCTGGCACAGAACCTGCCATGCAAGACCTTCGATCAGACTAAGGGTCTGTCGCCTTTCATGACCCATCAGACATACAGTGGATTCCTCGACGACGCCGTGCAACAACATGAGATATGGGTGCTTCAAGGCTTCCTCCTCAGGCCCAACGAAGTGATTCATAAGGTAGTTCTCCAGTTTCGCCCGCTGCTGAGTGATATCCGAGAAATCTATAAAGAAACGAGAGCACATGTACCTCTGAAGGGTTTTGATGCAATCCGGTTTTGCGGGCTTGTAGTTTTTGACTAGTAGATTACAGTATTTTAGCAAGCCGCCGCCTCTGATTTCTTCGGGGTTTCTGGTGGCAATAAACTTTTTCTGTAGATGATACAACGCTTCTTGAAAATCTCCATAAACAGACTCGCCAACAACAGTTGGATAGAAATTCTCACTTATTGGGAGTTTAGAACAGTCGTAGAATAATAGTAAGGATTCCAAGTGAATCTGGAATGAGTCAACGGAAAATTCAAATTGTCTTTTCATTGTGTCAACGAATTTCAATTCGACATTTTTGTGACCGCGTGAGTTTCCCAAAGAAATGAGAGACCATTTGTCGACGTCGTTGTTGACTTTAACCATTTTGCTCACATACGCTTCTTTCAACGAACACGTCGAGATACGTTTTCTACTGACTCCATCGGGAAGTAGATCGTAGAGGGAACTCAACACGGCCGATTTGACTTTGTCATAATTTCTCGCGTTGCCCAATTCCACGCCAAATATGAGATCTAGATCGTTGTAGGGCTGCGATTCGGTGGCCAAAACATGTGATGCGGCGCCACCGTTCAGACGAATATCGCGCACTTTCATACCTGCACCCCCTGATGCGGTATCGGCTACTAATTTAGCTCTCACAGTTGTTACTAAGTCTTTTAGTTTCACTTCGAGGGTGGGAAAGTTCCCTCGGCCGTGGATTGAGACAACTTCGTCCATGACGTCGTTTAGGCGACGGACCTGTTCGTAACTGAGGACAGCCAGACGTTGCTGAGCGTCTATGTTAGAAGACATGCTATTGTGGATGATTGGTGACGAACGGCGCCTTGGAAGTTCCCATGATCCCAACGAATCACACTGAAATTAAAAATACTGGAATTAGTTATCGAACTAAAGATCACATCTGTTTGAATACTCTTATTTATTGTGACGCAGTGCAACAGTTTTATTTAAAGAATCATTCAAGTAACTTCCTTAGTTTATTATCGAGGCAACCGGCATACGTATTGATTACTACATGTATAAAATTTATACAAATTCATAGAAAAATAACTTCATAATCATCACCATAGTAGTCAGTTGTAAGACTAGTGGACCCGCACCTCCACCATCCTGAGTTAACATTCCCTAAATGTAGATTATCCAACATCCTTAACTATTTACGAAAAATAACATCAGATGTATAAAATATTTCAAGAGTAAAATTAATTCATTAATTAAATTACCTCCAAACCGAAGTTAAATACATATGTAGTTAAGTTTGATATTATTGTTGAAATAAATTGAATCTTATTATTGTTTTTCGTTATTTTTTTTAGGTAATATACTTTAATTACGCTTTTTGTAACGGTTAACACTAGTGATTGAGTACCCACTATACTTGCACAACCTACTACTTATTTACTACCAATGGTTGAAAATGTTTGCAATTTCATGTTGTAGGTAAATATTTCGCAAGCTAATTGTCACATCATCATCTACATTAATTTTACACCATTCATAAATAATCAGTGTGTACATAGGTTTACCAGCATAAATACTAAGCTTTGAAGTCTGTAAACAATCGCACGGTAAGTTCAGTAACGTGGTTAAGGGCAATAAAATTTTTAAGAAAATTACAATAATTTACAATCGGAAACCGGTCCTGTGCGTGAATCGGCAACATAGGTGTCTTGCGAATAGCGTACTACGATTAAAGCTCTGGAGATACATAGATGGAGAATGTCTAAAATAAACATAAACGCTTTGTTTAAAACAAATTGTAAGATTTGCAGCAAGTGTTCCCTTAAAATTTGCCGCACTGTTACATGAGAGGAGTCGCATTACTATTTTGGGGATTGTCTTCTTTGAAATCGAGGAATTCCTCCCTATTTCTTATTTCCTCAGCCGATTGAGTGCAGCGTTGCAGGTAAGTATTTTTTTACCAGGACCGGAATTGAATTTACTTGTACTTTCAACTACGTTATTATCAAAATCGATGAACTTTCGGAGATACAAACATTTACGTAGTCTTCACGTTTTATGGTGCTCTATCACCTCCTGCAGGCTGTTACACCCTGTATACCACCTCCAAAAATTACCCCATAAATGAAATGTATGCATTTGCTACTACAGTTATTTAGAACTCCCCTTTGAAAAAAAATTGTATACTCTACACTGTAGGATCTACGGTATATATTCTTAACGAGGTTGATATCGATATCGACTTTCATGGGGACTACAGGGGATCCCTGGGAAAATGAATAAAAAAATTCAAGGAAAATTAGTTTGTTGCTCTATTTATTTATTTATTTATTAATTTAATTATATTGGCGAACCCTTTTCTATTAAGGAAACTAATTAATTTTTATGCGTCAATTTTGTGTGTCAAATGAAACTTCGAGAATATTGTGACTTTCCATTTAATTTTAATTATGCCAGTATACTTTGGCATGGCCGATACTTTGCATCAAACTGTAATTTCCATATAATGGTACGCCCTACTCGTCGCCACTATGTCGGGAGGCTTTTGAGTCAAAGGTCACCGCATTATCAAACAACTAGCAATTACCACCAGAAAATGTTAATCTCATAATCGGATGGATAGCCGGCCCGTTATCACGATAAATTATTATATCATAGGCGATGCCGCCGACGCCGTTTTATTCTATGACATTTACTGCTACGTGTTTATTACACAATTTTTCCTGTCCAAGACATGCGACTGTTGACTGCAAATTAGATCAGGTAGTTAACTCAAAACTGGAAACTGAAAATAATTTTTAGGGGTTAGTCACCCCTGGCTTAGATAATAATATCTGTTCAGTATTTCGGACTTTACCTGAACCATTACATTCTAGGAAGCCTTTCTTTGTATATATTTGTTCATTTACCGTTAGTTCTAGACGTAGTTTATTGCAACCCTTAGTCAATTGTATAGTTAAGCTCAGTTATACCCCCTATCATAAAGTTTACAATAGTCAGCCGTTCTCGGAACTATTCTCACCAAAACATGTATATTACAGTTTCAACTTTCTAATAACCAGTCTTCAAATTTTTCCCCCCTAAGGTTAAGTTATTTTTGTACATATAAATAAGTATTCAACCATCATTCAAGAAACCGAGCGGCATGGCCTAGAGGTCTAGACCATTGCTTAGCATTCGGGAGGTCGCCGGTTCGATTCCGGGTCCGTCTGCCTTGGTCCAAGTTTTTCTGTGGTTTCCTTGGATCACTTAAGCAAATGCTGGGGCAGTAATATTCCACAGATAATCTTTCATTCTCTTCTGTCTTCATTTCGTCCGTCTCAACTTTCTCACCCGAACCACCACCCACCCATTCCCACGATTCCTGAAAGCAGGCTGAAGAGGGCCTTCCGCCCTACCTTTCGGCATAGTCCGGAGGGACTGCCCGCCCACCAGCATTGCTGGCTGGTGGGAATGAAACACCCAAAAGTTTTTTTTTTTCATTCAAGAAGCATATCATCTGTTCACCAACCATCATTGTACATACAAATCAATAAACAACATCAAAAACCATATTCAGTGCATTCTTAATCATTATTCATCATCAACATCATTATCTTATACTATCATAATATAGTCAAGCACGAATGAGAAAATAAAGTGATTGTTTTGATAATAATCCCAACAATATCCTTTTATGATACAAGTAAGACAAGTTGCACGTGTGGAATATTTTTATTCAACCACCTCTATTTGAAAATACGACCAGCCTTTCTGAAAATTATCCTCTGACGGATCTCTTAAAAGCGCAATACTCCTCAAAATGCTTTAAATTGTATTTTCATATTATATATCTAATACTGTATGAAAATAAATAAGTAAATGCAAGGGAAGAAAAAGTAGGGAAAAGGCGTATATAAAGATAGGAGACGAAAGATTAAAAAAGTGACTGATTTCCGATGGAGGAGATAAAATTGAAAGCTCACTTAGCCCCTTGCCAGGTAACACAAGGATTACAAAGGATATATTCAAATGGACTGTATGGACTATGAAGCAAAAATTTACCTGGGCTTCTAATCCCACAGGCAGTTACTAAAGGCACTATAATGTGGTGCATTCGCCACTCTATGTGGTCAATTTTCAAAATGTAAGAGTCGTAACATGACTAGCTCTCACGGTTCGCATCAGGATAATGAATGAGCTTTAGTTGCGCGTCGGTGACTAGGACTCCCCCAAAGGAACGAAATGCACCGTAATGTCTATTGTTTTAAGGGAAAATCTGGGAATGTAAAGGACAAGGGACACATAACAAGGACTAAAACAACTAGGAAAGAAAATGAGCCAAATAAAATCTCCTCGCACATAATCAAATTAAGAAAGGAAAATAAAATATCAAGATTAAACATTCGGTATCTAGGAAGTCAGATAAGTCAGGACGGAAGGAGTAATAGGGATATAAAGCAGAGGATAGCGCAGGGTCGAGTCGCCTTGAATAAAAAGCAGTCACTTCTATGCTCTTGAACGGTTAATTTAGAAATTCAAAAAAAATTGTTGAATGTATATGTTAGAAGCGTTCGAAATGTGTTACAGGTGAATGATGACGATAGCGTGGATAGAGAAGGTTAGAAATGAAGAGGCATTAGAAAGAACAGGGAACATAGGACTCTATGGAAAGTTAATAAAAAATACGCGAGATAGGTTTGTAGGACACCTCTTCAGGTATGAAGGGCTAGTCAGAGGCATTAAAGGCAGAAACAGGAATTAAAAGGAGTAGAGGTAAATAGTTAAGGATGTGGGATGTTCTAGGTTTAGGAAAATGGGAAGATTAGCTCAGGATAGGAAGGAATGAAGGTGCGTGTCCAACCAGTGTCTTAGGACGATCACCTTATAGTGATGATTAGAACAAACAGTCTACTAATTTGATCGTTGTACTTAAGTATCGTATGGATAGATGACATGCTCACTCTTCAATAAATTTATGTTGCTAGGAAAATAACGTGATTTCACAAAATAACATTAAATGTTAATTACCCTAACCTTATCATTGTAGTCGCTACTGCTTCTACCTATAAAACGATTTTAAACCACGTTTCAAATGTTAAACTTTTAATATGACACTTTTAACAATTACGAATAATATGCAACGGTGTGAAAGCAAAGCGTATTATACCTGGATATGTTTTATTAGACAATTAATCTTCAAATGTCATGATAATTGTGCAAGATACAACACAATATTTCCATCCAGCAATGCATTTAATCAAGTATACGCGGTGGTATTAAGGGCTTTTTATCAAATTCGTACAAATCCTGACATTTATTTCAAAGGCACACAACTTAATTCATTTGTTGTAAGAGAAAGGTATTGAAGGAAGTTGCCATGAACTTTTCTTTTGCACATATTTTATTCTATACGCATATATAAAGTTTTCCTTTGAAAGAGTGGTAGAAAAAGGAGAAATTACTGTAATGTAGATATGCGCCGGATAGTGACTTTGCAGGGTACCGGATAACCGGGAAGGTACCTGACATTAGCTGTACCACATATTCCATTCCACCATGTTTAAAACAATCATCATCATTATAAGGTCGTCGATCCTAAGACTGGTCGGACACGCACCTCCACTCCTTTCTATCCTGAGCTAATCTTCGCATTTCCTAAAACTACAACATCCCACATCCTTAATTATTTGTAAACGGTAAACTAAACTAGGTCTATTCTTCTTAACTCCTGTTCTGCCTCTAATATGTCTCTGAGTTTTTCATGCTTGAGAAGGTGTCCTACCAACCTAACTCCCCTATTTTATATTAACTTCCAAAGAGTCCTCTGTTTACCTATTCTTTCTACTACCTGTCCATTTCTAACCTGATTTATCTAACTTCCTAAATACCAAAAATCAGCCACTTCTTCTAAT